TTCACAAGAACCTAGAATCTTAATGAGTCAAAGTTCCCAAGGGCTTCAAAAGAACCCTGGGCAATGCTCGCACCAAGAAAAGGTTGAATAATCGAATCTCAAGTGCCTTGAATTCCAGTCGGCCAAGAACCCAGGTATAGAACAAGAGAATAGTAACATGATAACTCAATTTTTTGTGAAAATCTAGCGATTCCAGTCCCTCTCAAAGGAAAATGGGAAAGGGTTTATATAGTAGAAAAATTAAACACTTGCAAACAAGGAAAAACAGTCAATCAATCATAAAAAGGGAAAGAATAGCATGCGAAATTGATTCAGAGTCAATTTAGAAGAAGTCAAGAAAACCCTAATTGAAGTCAGATTTAAGGCAAATCGTTCACAAGCCTCAATCACGACAGAATCACTGGAGATATACCATATACAAGAGAAATTTCTCTTTTTTAAGTGTATATAGCCACAATCGTACCCAAAACCAAGAATCAAAGCCAGATCTAGCTTGCCATAAGTGAAGTGGTAACGAAAGTTACCATAAAACGAGTAATGGTAACAAGAAAAAGGAAAGTAAATCCACGTATGGACGCGTATAGCGAAGGAATAGGTAAAACTCTCCATGGTCGGCTAGGGTTTAAGTTTGGGAGATGAAGGGGGGTGCTGAGAGAGTTTTAGGGGCGGCGACTTAGGAGGAATGGGATAGGGTTTGGGTTATGGGGATATAAGGGGATGGGTTGGTTTATTATGGGCCGTTGATCATTGAAGATCAACGGCTAGGATTGAATAAGAAATGGGGCGAGCTAAATACAACGGGTCGCGACCGGATTTTTAAAGGGATCATTTAATTGGGCTCCTGAAGAGTGAAGTGGAGTGGGCTAAAATTTTGGGCCTGATTTTGGTCCGTTTGGTCCGAAAATTAGCTCAAAATTGAGCCTGATTTTAAATAAGAGATTAAAGGGAAATAATTTAATAAAATAGTTAAACAAAAATATAAAAAATGCTACTTATGCAACTTAATAATTTAAAACAATAGTATAAGATTATAAATAATGTAAAAACTTATTTTGACCTTGAATAAAATGAAAAATGCAATAAATTGCAAAATATAGCCTACTATTGCAAGATTGTGTAAATAGCCTAAAAATGCTAATATAATTATATGAAGTGAAGTAAAATATTTAAAACATATGCGAATAATAATCTGGATGATTAAGTCATCACAAGAAATAATTTAAAGAAACAATAATGGTGAATATTCAGGTAAATTAAATGCAAGAAAATTAATTTTAAAACTCTAAAAATTATGAAAAAATATAAAAATGCTCATATAGATCTTGTAAATTAAATAGTGATACAGAATGATATTTTGAAAGTATACATGCTTTTTGAAAAATATGAGGGCAAAAATTGGGTATCAACAGATGGTTTATAGAAATTTCTACAACTTCACCCTTTTTCGGATAATAACTTTTTAATCTAGAAAGTAGGAAAGCGAAGTTGTAACAGCACGGCCGATCGTTTTGAGGCTTTGCATCCCGTTCGGTGGGTTAAGGTCTCGAGCAGTTTTGTATTACATATTATAACTTGTGTGTGTGGCCGAGTTTGGATTTCAGATGATTCGGGATTGATTTGGAAGGATAATTCTTGTTTTAGAAGCTTAAGCGGTAAGAGTTGACCGGAGTTTGACTTTTGTGTAGAAGACTCCGGAATGGTATTTTAATGATTCTGATAATTTCGTATGGTAATTTTGGACTTAGACGCATGTCAAGATTTGGATTTGGAGGTCCATAGGTAAATTTGATACATTTTGGCGAAAGATGGAAAGTTGAAGGTTTTGAAGGTTGAGAGGTTTGACCGGGAGTTGACTTTGTTGATATCGCGTTTGGATTGCGATGTCGGGAGTTGGAATAGCTCCTTTGTGTCATTTGAGACTTGCATTCAAAATTTGACGTCATTTCGGGTTGATTTGATATGATTCGGCGCGACCACACCAGCAATAGAAAAGGCATCAGCTATCTCCCAAGTCCAAAATCAATCTGCAACCTATCCGAAACTCACCCGAACCCCTCGGGCTCCAGACCAAACATGCACACAAGTGTAATAACATCATACGAATTTGATCGTGTAATCAAATTACCAAAATAATATCTAAATCTACGAATTAAACCTCAAAACGAATGAACTTTCAAAATGAAACTCAAGAATACTAGAATCACGTTTAAGCGTCTGGATCAATGTAAAATCAATTCCGAATTGAGCCAAATATTGCAGACAAGTTTCAAATAGCAATACAGAACTATTCCAAGTTTTAACATCAAAATCCGAACTTGTTAGCTAAGAAGTCAACTTACGGTCAAACTTAGTAATTCTTCCACTTCGAGAAATGCTAGTTTTGGGCAAAATGAGTCAAAACAAGTTAGGGACTTTCGAATTCAATTCCGGGCATACGCCCAAGTCCCAAATTACGATATGGATCCACCGGGACCGTCAAAATACTGATTCAGGTCCGTTTGCACAAAATTTTGACCGTAGTCAACTCAAGTCATTTTAAAGACAAAATTCACATTTTCTTAAATGTTTCACATAAATTGTTTTTTGGAAAAAAGATTCGAACTGCGCACGCAAATCGAGAATTCTAAACAAAGCTATTCGAGGTCTTGAAACATGGTAATAGAGGCTAAATCTCAAAATGACCTATCGGGTCATCACACTCTCCAACTCTAAAATAAACGTTCGTCCTCGAACAGACATAGAAAAGTACCTAGACTGGTGAAAAGGTATGGGTATGTACTTCGCATGTCGGACTCGGACTCCCACGTGGCTGCCTCGATCGGCTGACATCTTCACTAAACTCTAACTGAAGGATAACTCTTAGATCTCAACTTCCGGACCTACCGGGATAGAATAGCCACTGGCTCCTCCTCATAAGTCAAATCCTTGTCCAACTTGTCTGAGCTGAAATCTAACACATGGGACAGATCATCGTGATACTTCCGGAGCATGGAGACATGGAACACCGGATGAACTGTTAATAATCTAGGTGGCAGGGCAAGCCTGTAGGCCACCTCATCCACTCTCTCAAGAATCTCAAAGGGTCCGATATACCTTGGGCTCAACTTTCCCTTCTTCCCGAACCTCATCACACCCTTCATGAGTGAAACCCAGAGCAATCCCCTCTCTTCAACCATGAATGCAACATCACAAACTCTCAGATCGGCATAACTCTTCTGCCTAGACTGAGCTGTACGAAGTCGATCCTGAATCATCTTGACCTTTTTCAAGGAATCCTGAATCAAATCGGTACCCAACAACCGAGCATCTCCCGGCTCGAACCAACCAACTAGAGAACGACATCGCCTCCCATATAATGCCTCATAGGGAGTCATCTGAATACTCGACTGGTAGCTATTATTGTAAGAAAACTCCGCAAACTGCAAAAAACTGATCCCAAGAACCCCCAAAGTCCATAACGCAAGAACGAAGCATATCCTTCAATATCTGAATGGTGCGCTCGGACTGTCTGTCCATCTGGGGTGAAATGTTGTACCCAACTCAACTCGTGTGCCAACTCATGGGAACGCGGACAATGGATAGCTAAAGCATCGCGAACGCATGCCCACGATCGCTTTCATGATGAATAAAATCCCTAAGCTCCAAGAAACCTTTCGCGATCACATCTTCATCTTCGAAATTGCGAAGAACAACAGGCACACCAGCAAATCAGTGGTCCAAAAACATGGAGAAGTAGCCCGTAGCCCATCCGAAACACACCCGAAGACCCTGGGACCTCGTCGAAACATACCAACAAGTTTCATAACATAATGTGGGCCTACTCGAGGCCTCAAATCACATCAAACAACATTAAAACTATGAATCGCACCACAAATCGAACTTAATGAACTTATGAACTTTCAACTTCTACAACTCGCGCCGAATCATATCAAATTAACCCGAAATAACCTCAAATTTTGCATGCAAGTCCCAAATGACATAGCTATTCCAACTCCCTAAATCGCAATCTGAACCCGATATCCACAAAGTCAACTCCCGATCAAACATCCCAACCTTTCAAACTTTTAACTTTTCAATTTTTGCCAAAATATATCAAATCAACCTACGGACCTTCAAATCCAAATCTGGACATACGCTAGAGTCCAAAATCACCATATGAAGCTATTGGAATCATGAAAATATCATTCCGGAGTCGTCTACCCAAAATTTAAAATCCGGTCAACTCTAGCCACCTAAGCTTCTAAAACAAGAATTGTTCTTCCAATCCATCCCAAATCATTCGAAAATCGAACTCGACCACACACGCCAGTCATAATATATAATACAAAGTTGCTCAAGACTTTAATCTACCGAACTGGACGCTAATTCTCAAAATGACTGATACACTAAAGTAAGTATATTGCTTCTTTCTTTCTTTCGTTTTTATTTGGCAAAGGCAAAAAAATCTTTCTAATGAATTCAAAAATTAAAAACTCATTGAAAAGCGTTGCGGTAATAAACTTGGACTATTATTTCAACAACCAAAATACGTTATACGTATAGTTATAAGAAAAGCATTTGTATTATGTAAAATCTTAATTAATTTAATATTCTAGAATTAGGATTTTCTTTCTTATTCAATAAGGTTTAATAACCAAAATCTTAATTGATTTTAAAATCCTAGAGACTAGGAAAGTTAATTTAAATAAAGATTTTGTCCTATCCGAAATCTATTTTTAAAGGATAAAAAATACGAACAATATTTTTACTAAGAATGGAGGTGGAGTACGGTGGTTCCAATGTATAAGAATAAGGTTGACATCTAAAACAGCAATAATTACCGGGGTATCAAGCTGTTAAGCGATGAAAGTCTAGGAGAGGGTGGTGGAAGCAAGGATGAGGAGGACTGTATCTATTTTTGAGAACCAGTTCGGATTTATATCGGGTAATCGACTACTGAAACCATTCACCTTATTAAGAGGTTGGTGGAGCCGTATAGGAATAGGAAGAAGGGCATGCACATGGTATTCATTGACCTAGAGAAAGCCTACGACAAAGTCCCGAGGGAGGTGTTATGGAGATGTTTGGAGGCTAGAGGTGTGCCTGTAGCTTATACTAGAGTGATCCGAGAAATGTATGATGGTGTTAAGACCCGGGTTAGGACGCTGGGAGGGGACTCGAAAAATTTCCCAGTAGTGATGGGTTTGCATCAGGGATCCGCTCTTAGCCCGTTTTTATTTGCCTTAGCAATGGATGTTCTAATGCGGCACATTCACGAGGAGGTGTCATGGTGCATGTTATTCGCCAGTGATATAGTACTGATTGACGAGACACGATTCAGTGTTAATGCGAGGCTAGAGGTCTGGAGACGAACCTTGGAGTCAAAAGGTTTCAAGTTGAGCAGGACTAAAATAGAGTACTTGGAATGTAACTTCAGCGACGTGACTCGGGAAGAGGACGTGGAATTGAGGCTAGATTCAAGAGTAATTCCCAAGAAATGGAGTTTCAAGCACCTCAGATCTATAATTTCTAGTAATGGAGAGATAGACGAGGATGTCACGCATCGGATCAGAGCAGGGTGGATGAAATGGAGGTCCATTTTCGGGGTTTTGTATGATAAGAAGGTACCACCAAGACTCACAGGTAAGTATTATAGAGTAGTAGTTAGACCAACTATGTTGTAAGGAGTGGAGTGTTGGCCAGTTAAGAACGTCCATGTACAACAGATGAAAGTAGAAAAAATGAGGATGTTGAAATGGATGTGTGGGCATACCAGGAGAGATAAGCTTGGGAATGAAGTTATCCATGACAAGGTTGTAGTAGCCCCTGTGAAGGATAAGATGCGGGAAGTTAGGCTGAGATGGTATGGGCATGTAAAGAGGAGTATAGATGCCCCTGTGAGGAGATGCGAGATGTTGGCCATGGTGAGTTGAGGAGAGATAGAGGTAGGCCTAGGAAGTATTGGGGAGAGATGATTAGGTATGACATGGCACGCCTTCAGCTTACTGAGGACAAGACTATGAATAGGAAGGCGTGGATGTTGGGAATTAAGGTAGAAGGTTAGTTGTTAGGCGTAAATGTCTCACTTGCATGTCAGTAACATTAGTATTAATCTTTTATTTTCTTACCTTCATATCCGCAAGTTTCTTTTACCTTATGTTGATGTTTTCGCCTCGATTATTCTATCATCCTGTCTCCCTACCGCATTATCTTGTCGATGGTACTACGTGTTATGTCTTCTTCTTTTACGTTTATCTAGAGCCGGGGGTCTATCGGAAATAGTTTCTCTACCTTTACAAGGTAGGGGTAAGGTCTGCGTAAACTCTACCCCTCCACCCTCCCCAGACCCTACTTTGTGAGACTATACTGAGTTTATTGTTGTTGTTGTTGTTGGATTTCATGCTTTTAATATTGTATATATAGATAAAGATATAATATATTGTATTATCTCTAATCCAAAATTAATTAAAATAATTAAGCAGCAAAGTTTGGATTGCAGTGGTTTGCAACCAGGATTCCTGGGCTGCACGCTTTAACTAGACTCCAGGCTCATACTCCCTCCGGTCCATTTTAATTGTCGTGATTATTAAGAATAATGAGTCCAAAATACTTATCATTTTAGAAAATTAAGATATACTTAGTTACGAGGAACAAGAAGAACAAGAGAACTTGATCGAGCAAAGCGAACGTAGTAACCACCAATCAGAATCTCTTTTGCGCATGACATTTCAAATTGACGGAATCTTATGTTAAATCAAACTATGTCAAACAAATCGAGATAGATGAAGTAGTTCGTTTGGATGGTTGTTACTCATTGTATTGTATTTTTATTAAGAATCGAAACAACAATAAAACTCGGATCTGATTATTTAAATTTTATTAAATTGTATTATTCAATTCGTTATTATGTAACACGAAAAAATCCATCATATGTAATGACCTATTTGAAGTGGTTGGAGCATTATGTTATTGATCTCTTTCCCATCTATTTGTTCTTTTATTCTATTTTTCTATTTAACTCCATCTTACAGTATTAGAATCGTCACCTCAGATTTCAAGTTCATTTACGCTACCGTTTTTCGATATCCCTTTTATCAATATATTCTCCATCCACGTTTTACTATTTTTGCTAAGACTATTTTTTGTTTTTGCTTTTTTTTGGATGACATTTTATATTTGATTAATTTTGTTAGGAGTTGTATAAATTTAAAGCTTTAATATTTACAAGGAGTAATTGGTGATAAATTTGAAAATGAAGTTGTCTTAAATTATTTTCATAGTAATTGTTGATAAATCTAATATTTATAATAATTCAATGTATTTTAATAAATTTAACAATTATATAACTAGTTAAACCGAATACTAAAATATTATTAAACTATATCAAATGATACAACACGTACGTCGTGAAATTGTCACGACCCAAAATACCACCACACGCGTTGTGATGGCACTTAGTCTCTAAGACTAGGTAAGCCAATTACAATTACATTTCAAGCCATTTTTTTAATTCAATACAGGTGCCAAAAACCAACAGCGGAAACAATTATGAAAACCTCGCAAGACTGGTAATACTGAGTCACGAACTCTAACAAAATACATGGAATGATCTCAAGGATCGAATACTCAATAGTGTTTGATTAATAATTAACAGTACAATAAAATGAAAAGACTCCAAGGGACTGCGACGACCAAGCTGCTCTACCTTGAGTCCTTGCGATCACCCTTTAACTCTGTCCGAGTCTAATATCTCCAATACCTGGCTCTGCACAAAAATATAAAGAAGTATAGTATGAGTACACCACAGTCGGTACCCAGTAAGTATCAAGACTAACCTCGGTGGAGTAGTGACGAGGTACAGTCAAGACACTCTCTAGTCTAATAACCTGTGCAATATAGTATACAAAAATAATAGAAAAATAAATTGCAGTGATAGCAACGATAATCAACTAGTGATGTAAATAGCAAGGCAACAAGAACTCCATAAATATTGCTCAAACAGGTAATGAACATAAGTACAACCAATAATCAAGTCCTTCAAAATATACATCTTTCATCTATAAGTTTTTCAATAGAAATCTCTAGAATATAATCATTTCCAATAAATATATTTCGAACATACTTCTTTCAATTAAATATCCTTCAAATATAATTATTTCAAATAAATATCTTTCGAATATAATTCTTTCAAATAATATCCTTCAAATATAACTCTTTCAAATAAATGTCTTTCGAATATAATTCTTTCAAATAATATTTTGAATATAATCCTTTCAAATAAAAGTCACATTGTGACACCTTATCTCATAATCATAAAATACGGGTCTCAGCCCACTTTCATATTTCCACGGCACCTCGTGCCAATATCACTATCACAATCGTACGGACAACTCGCGTGCCAATATTATCATCATATTTTCGGCGTGCAACCCGATCACATATAACATTAATCATATCTGTTGCGGCATGCAACCCGATCTCATATAACATAATCCGCCTGGCAATAGTCACAGGCTCCCAATTTTAACATAGATCAGGCTATTATCAGGTTTACCGAAACAACAAGATAAGTTGCACAAGATATAAAATAAACACAAGGAAAATCACAACATCACATGAAAATTACTAACGCAATAACCCCACATCATCACATAAAAATTACCAACACTATAATTCCACATCATCACATATCATCCCTCACAATAGCCACCTTTATCACTCCTATAATAGCCTCCCTTATCCCTCTGCCCTGACAATATCCATAGTCACTCTTATCGCTCCAATAGCCACCCTTATCGCTCCGTATATAGCCACTCTTATCACTCCGCCCAGACAATATCCCAATACACATAACCACAGTAAAATGCCACCCTTATACCCACATAATATCAATAGTGAAATGCCACCCTTATACCCACATAATATCAATAGTGAAATGCCACCCTTATATCCTCAAAATAATAAATCAAATCACACAACAATTTATACGGAATATTATCACGATAATGCAATACAATCAATTCATATCACAATTTGCCCAATGACCACAACCAATTTCAATGATATAGTAAAATCAATAAATTTCTCAAAAATAGCCCAAGTCTCCACACAACATATATAAAATCTCAAAACAACAACAGAGATGGAAAAGTAACTCAACATAGGACAACGCCTTCTTTAATCCAGATATTAATAAATATAAATTAATGCCTCATTTTAAACTTATTTAATAATTATTTGCAGATAAGGATTCAATAATGAATTTAACTCCAAGAAAAAATATCAAATCAACAAGTACGCGGAATTCACATAACAATCCAAGTGACAATAACACCATATTATCATATAAAATACAATTTCGACAAACAAGGAACGAGGCATGACAATTCAAGGATTTACAAAGTTCCAAGAATTTTCCAATTTAATACATAAGGGTGTGTACGAATTTTAACCGATATAATTTGCACATAAAAACCAAGTACGTACTCGTCACCTTGCATACACGGCTTTCAATCACACAATTTTCACATAAGACTCAATGCCTAAGGGGTAATTCCCCCACTCAAGGTTAGGCAAGATACTTACCTTTTTGAAGTTAGGCCGATATTCCAAAATAGCCTTCTTGCTTGAATTGACCTCCGGACAACTCAAATCTATCCAAATTAATTCAATTCAGTCAATACTAATTAAATGAATTAATTCCATATGAAAATATAAATTTTCCAACAAAATCCGAAATTTAACTCAAAATTGCCTGTGGGGCCCACATCTTGGAATCCAACGAAACTCACAAAATCTGATAACCCATTCAATTACGAGTCCACCCATACCAATTTTATCAAATTCCAAAAATAACTCGACCTCCAAACCCAAAATTTTTTTTCTTGAAAAGTTTTGAAAAAATCTTGATTTCTTTCATTTAAATCCGAAATAAATGATGAATATAACCATGGATTTATGAAATATAATCAGTTTTGGAAATAACTATTTTTGGTCCTTAAGTGTCTGCTCATCCGTCACTAAAAGTCTATTTTTCATCACTAAAAGTCCACACCAGAACTTGCTTGCACCAACAGTTATTTATTTTTACTAAAAAGGTTCTAACTCTGTCATGCGAACTCGAAATTTGACGATTCTTATTCCTATGAGTCACAAATAATAATACGAATCTAGTTGTTCAATTGAAACTGAATTCGGAGCTTATTTGCACAATGCGATACCAATTTCGCTCGTTAAACAATTAACTCATGTTTCGCGCTAAAAACCCAATCGCGGCTTAATGAAATTAGACCAAACTTTCTAGATCACTCCTATAATTCATTATCAAAATCTCGGAAGTATCCAAATTGAATTTCGATCTCTAAAACTAAAAATGGACCTTTGGATCATTACATGCTTATGCTGAAAACATCAAATTCTTCCAAAAGTCGTCCCCGACAGCCTGTAGTATATCAACCATAACTTCTTGTACTCAACTCCAGCTGCCAAACGGTTTAAATTTTGCAAACTAGATACAAAGGGCTACAACTTTCATGTTTTTCTTATCGTCCAACTCCTTATAGATTACGAGATATAAGCTCCCAAAGTCAGCCCTGTGCAGCAGAAATTTCTGGCGATGCACACTGCTGTAGCCAAAATCTGCAATACCAGCTTCAGTCAATCGATCATAACTTTTTATGCAAATGTCCGAATGATGAATAGTTTATTATTATGGAAACTAGAATCAAAGGGCTATAACTTTCATGTTTTGATAATTTCTTATAGATTTCGAGATATAAGCTTCCA